TTATCAATTATCATTTCAGTTGCACTCTAAGAAGAGAAATTGCCTTTTGCAAAAGAAGTTGAATGATCTTGTCTTCATTCAATATAACAAAAGATTGGAGAGGCGCTACAAATCTCTTAAGGATAGCAAGTCTTCAAATCTTATTTTCTTGAGAGATGTTGAAGAAAATGATGAATGGATGGTTCCAACCGACGTTGAGCTCCAAGAGTTTGTGGATGCAAGAGATGGCCTCCTTTGGTCGGATGTACGAGAAGCAATGGGAGGTAATGAAGAAGTTGGACCAAGTACAAGAAGTAAAAGGGAGCGCTATAGAGATGATGATGATGATCATCACTTTGGAGATGAAGGGGAAGAAGAGGAAGATTGGGAAGCTAACCTAAACGAAGAAGTGAATGTATTGGATGATGTTGACTCGGATGCCGAACCTATTGCTTGCGATTAGCTTGTTTTTGAACACTTTAGATGATGTGATGTTTTAATTTTAAAACTATATTTCTAAACTCTAATTAATTCATATTATATATATAATTCTAAGAAATATTATGTTCACCGCTATTTCCGATATATCACCGATATAACCGATATATCGAATATCGGTCCTGATCGATATTTCGTATTCTGACCGATATAACAGCATAGTCTATTTGTACAACCAATGTAAGGGTATATATAAATAAGAGTTTAATTCTTGTAAAAGGGACATTTAAGATTATAAAAATGACCGACTTCTTTCTCTATATTTCTCTCTCTAGTCTCTTCTTCTTAAATAACTTCAAGCTTCATGTGAAGCCATTTTTCCTTTAATAGGTCAGGTTCATTAAAATGTGGTTCAATCATAAACGCTAGCTCTTGTGATGTCATATTCATTCATGGTTGGACAAATACATTCTACAACTGCTGAATAAACTGCATATGCAAAAATATACATGACAACAACTAGTACTCAAGAAAATAGTCTCAGAGAATAATATTACACACAAAAATGATGGGGTCACAGTCACAGTCGCAGGTTATGGTCTTCTTGTTGCTTCCTATTGCAAAAGTCCATTTAGCTGCATGCTGAAAAGCTCCGCAAGAGCACCACGGATGTCCATCTGACCACCCAACACACCCAAATTAATCATTTCAGAACAATTCCAACATAACACACCCAAAAAAAGCATTTCTAGAACCCTATTAGATTACTCTCTAGGAGAAAAGGGAGGTTTCAACATATATGTAGCGTTTGGTACGTAGACATGACTGGACTGGATATAAATGGACATGACAAGAGGGCAGTACTGGATAAGATGGGACAAGTTGCCTATCTATTGTTTGGTACGACTAGGGCTGGATAGGACAAAATGTGGTTGTGGAGGTGGTGGATGAGGTTGTAGTAGTGGAGGTGGTCGTCGGTGGCTGCCGGTGGCTGCTGCTAGTGGTGGTGGCGATGACCATGGGCAGTAGTGACCATTAAAACAAATACCATATCATGATTATATCAAATGAGGGTAGATTAGCAATTCTTTTTAGTTTTTGTCACATACGTGTCCCGTCTTGTTCCTATTTTGGTGGGGGAAAAAAGCCCCTTTTTTCCCACCCAGGCCCAATCCTTATCCGTCCCATGTGTGCCAAACGTGGGACAGTGAGTTCCCAAGTACCAAAAGCAACCTATATTGAATGGAAATAGTCCAAGTCTAGCCGACGTGGGAACCCAAATAAATTACTCTCCAAAATAACTCTTGAGGAGAGAATGAAGGTTCCAACACATATTTAGGATAACTGGTCCAAGTCTAGCAGATGTGGGACTGTAACAATTGGGTTGCAGAATGTGTAACCTTCCCGTTACTTGTGGTGGTTTGGAAAAGGACAAGTTTCACGACTTTGAACCACTGACCTTTTGGTCACAACTAAAATAAGAAAGAGTTACCTGCTCACAGCATACAAGCTTGGTAATTAAAGGATAGAAACTCCTCAGGTGTTTCTTGAATATCTCCTTCTCCATTACACACATACCCTTAAGAACCTGAATATAAATAAATGAAACAATTTTCATACAATGCAATTTTATGAATGACCTTGTAAGTGTATACTGAGAACCACAAAAAATTTAAGAACCGAAGAACATGTATATTCATTGATGCATATATGCTAATGAATTTCAGCGAGTATATATGCATATATGCTAATGAGTTTCAATGAGTATATGCATCAATGCGTAATTGCATATATTTGCACAGGTGCATGCATAGTATATGTGTATTGATGAATATATTCATTGACGAAATACATATTTTGATAGGAATCAAATGAATATACAAGTTCTCTAGTTCTCAAATTTTTTGTGGTTCTCACTTGAACCTGATCCTATATATATATATAGAGAGAGAGAGAGAGAGAAAGAGAGAGAGGAAGGATCATGCGAGAAGTTAAAACATTTTGCGATGAGGCAAGAAGTTTCAATATCATAAATGATTACTCCTTTTTGAGTGTTTAAGCGTCTATGTGTTATCAATGCAACATGGGTTTAATCATATATGTTTAAGCTTGTGTATCATGCATGTAATCATATATGATATTGAAATTTCTCGCCTTCTCGCAAAATGTTTAGCTTCTTGTTTGAACCTGCCCCTATATATATATCCCTATATCTATATATATATATAAAGGTGACACATACCTTGACGATGATTGGGGAACGTAATCCAAGAACTTGATGAATCTCCATGTTAGTAGTATCTCCGATGCTTGATTGGAACTCAGATGCTTCCTTCAGTACCTGTCCGCAAAAAGACACAAGCTTCTCTTCAGCATCAGTCTTTACTGTGGCATCATCATCTTCATCACGAGAACCATTCGTTTCAAGCTCTCCATTTCGGTTTGGATCAACCCCAGAAGTCGTCTTCTGTAATGCATCCAAATAAATGCAAGTTCCAGCTAACTCCTGCCGTAGAAGGTTTAAAGGTGGCCTGACCAATTATAAAACAGCTCATGTCAGAATTACAGAACACCTTAAACTAAATAATCCCTCCGTCCCAAAATAAATGTCCATATAACTATATGGCAATTTACCCTTAACAATAGAGGGAGTATTGAATTTCTCCAGCCGGGTAGAATAGGAAAATACACACTTACTTTTGAAAGTGGACACTTAATTTCTCGTGGCCTCAGTTTTTTCAAGACCCACATAACGAGAATGCTATATGATCAAAACGAACAGGCCTTACTAACCTTTCAGAAGAAATGTGTTGCATCCGTAGTCTGAGGTTTGTGTACGAATTATATGATGCAGCAAACTCCAACATAGAGAACAAAATTTCCAATATCGTTATCTTTTGATAGGCCTTCAACTTGCTCCAGTATTTTTTCTACACGTTTTAGAAACGTTAGTAAAAACAATCATTTCAAATGCACCTCTACCACCTTTCTTGCTGCCAGGAAAACACCCTTTTGCAGCAAAGCTGAGAAGAAGCTTTGGTGCACCAGGGTTACAACTCCTCTTTCAGTTCCCATAAATGGATTGACGGGATTGCAAGGAATCAATTTATGTAGAAAGAAATATAACTTAATCGATGTTTTAACTAACTCACCCATTTGACATATTTTTAAAGAATACGTAATGTTCAGAACATAAATATGAAGAACATTTACCAGAAACAGTCAAGACATATGTAGAAATGTTAAAAGTAGAATGTGTACCTGGATGCTATCAAGGGCTCCTAATAGTAGCAGCTGTGTTATGCATTTGCCCCTTACTGTTCCCATAAATGGACTTTCTGCCACCTCTTCAGCATCATGCTCCACAACATCTAGAGACTGGAGATAATTAAAAGGAAAAGTCAAGACTGGATAATAATCAATAGGAGAAGTTCATTTTTATAGTCTTCAGGATCTAGCTAGGATGTCCTTCAAATGATATTTTTATAGTATCTGGAGTCTTTTTATAGGCCAAATACCAAAACATCAAATACTCACCATCAAGATTGTTACAAGTAGTTTGAAAGGCACACAATCCATCTCAAGGAGGTAATATCTTGGAGGTTATAAGTTTGAGTCCCTCCCTACCTTTCAGGTAAAATTCAAAAAATGACTATTGACGGAGGGAGTGTAAGATTATTCATCTCCAAGATTGAGTAGTACTAATGTTGTAAATATTTTTTTGACACGGATATAATTTTCTAGAGTTCTGGAGGTTCTAAATGATTTTAGTCTTACTCGTTTTGTTCAGTTGGCATTTCATATTGTGGATCCCAACTATAAGGCTTGGCAGGAAACAAAAACGAGATTAGGGGTCTCAGTTACTTCATATGAAGAAAATAAAATATGGAGCCCCACAAAATAAAGAATGGTGGATGGATGAATTAATATAAATGAATGGAATCTTGACCTTCTATAACATTGACATCAACCATCGCCAGGGAATATGAGCAAAATTTCAACATGAATCACCAAAATGTCATTATGTGTTTCCTTAACAAGGAACAGATTGATATATAATCGAAGCATTAAGCAGATCAGAAAGCAAGACCACGGTACCTTGGATGGTGAAGATGGTGTCACAACATCTAAAGCCGGATTCTTGGGCTTAGAGGTGAAACTTCTAACGAAGAGGTTGTCCATCATGTTTCCCATCAATCGTTGACCTATTGTTTGACTTCGTTGCAAATCCGCAGCTTCAGAAGCTTTCTGGACCTTTCCAGGTGAAGGTGTTTGCCCTGCAAAAGATGACTGTTAAACACTTCCCTTCTAAATTAATCAAAGAGACCAGCTTTAGAACTAATGCAGTTATGCTTACACCCAGGGATGAATATGTGGGTGGAATGTATAAATAATCTATAATATCAGTTAAAACTTTGAATTGATCTAGTAGGATAATGCTGAATTAGGAGTGTTTTTATTGAATATGTAGTTTTGCAATCATATAACGAGAATTTCAAGTGCAAAAGCAAATTCTTGAAAAGTTCAGCCTCATTTGAATGATATAACAAAATATAAATAGGGTATGTACAACATTAAGGATTTGCAAGTCATAACCTTCAGCGTCATGCAGATCCACAGACGGCCTTTCTTCTTGATTGTCTTGTACTCGACCTATCACAGAAAAATCATTATTTGTATCCAACATTGAGCTGCAAGTTCATTTAGTTATACTCGACCTAATCTAGTACTAATCATATTTAAAAAAGATTCCGTGTATTTCGTCTTCAAAAAAATTTACAACCCAACATTTTTCTAATTGCAGCACCCCGAAATTGAAACAGACACAAATTGGAAGTGGAAACTTAGTCCATTCGATCTCAAAAGTCAACCTGTACTGTATCTTTGAAAAAGAAAGGGAATACAGACAAGTGACAATCAAGTCGCTTACCATTAGCAGACATAGCTGAGGGACTATCATTTGCCGAAACCTCTAAATCTCTAGCCATAACCAACCGACTCTTGCCACTTTCAATACCCAAAGCATTGAGTAGCTCAAGGGGTTGAGTGGTGTATGAAGCATCTCTGCAAACACGATGTATGTGAATATAAGCACACAAACACAAACAAGTTTAAATTAAGATATACATAAATATACAACAATTACAAGAGAATATGATTAGAGAGGTGGGACCCTATGCACCTTATGCTTTTCAACAAGGTATCCCAATCACTATCACTGAATTGGTGTCCTCCGACTTCAATAAGATGGACCAATGCAGCAAGGGATATTGAGGCCACTGACTGATCTGTCTTCTTGGCACAATCTAACAGCAGATTTAGCAGTGGGGGCAGCATGAAACATACCTCCTGCAAGACACATGATTTTCTATTAAAACATAGCAGCTCTGAGAAATTGGTGTCCTCAGTTATTAGAAAAGGCAGAACCAGATATCATCCTTCCTCCGTCCCATGAAATTTGTAACGATTTACCAGACATGGTTGTATTAAATTGTCTGATTGTTAGTTGAATGCTTTAAGTTCCCAGCATGTTGAAAAAAATAAGCAAATCTTGGAACCAAAACCCATAGCATTAATTAGTAGCAATGATGAGGAGGGACGTATATGTAATTCTAGTTTAGAAATTTGCAAAAAAAGATCGCGATTTTAATGAGACGTCTTCACAACTTGAAGTACACGTCATAACTGAAAGTCAAAGGTTAATCATATAGGAGTCCATTAGTGAATGGAACTTTATTTGGACTTAAAATTTACATATACACTCATGTTCTTTAATTTGGATGTCTCCCGGTCTTTCATTCCACTCCTGTTCAATCATATTTCTTGCTTCTTTCTTTCTTAGCAATGTAGAGTAACCCATCTTTGCTGAGAGGCCCCAAAATTTTTGTTATTTGAAATTTCCATATAAAGTTCTTCAACTTTCACTCCAAAAATTGTAACTAGCAAGTCTAAATCAGTTTACTCCACACCGCTGGTCAATCTTGTGTAGACCCGTATCCAAAAACATTAATTCTAATTAAGGTACATGCAAAGCACTAGAATTTAACTAGAAGAATAATTGCTTTTGCAATCCAGTTATATTAGGATTGTCTACACTACATGTGTAATTGATTCGAGTCCAGTCCAAGTGCTTGAAGCTCAGCTCGTGAAAAACATGGTTGGCCTAGGCTCATTAGGCCTGGTTCCTATGATTTGTACAAATTTAATCCCTGGTTCTGTCTGTACAGCTCATATACTATTAAAAATTAAATACAAAATTATAATTACAAATCCTCAAGATGCCAAGACTAGCAACTAAAAAGTATAAAATACACTAAGTGGCTCGTATACACTCGTATTATTTAAGCCCGGCTAATTTAGCTGCCACGCCCAACCCATACTAGGCTCAAGGACGCATTAGCCAAACGAGTCGCTAGAGCTTGCCAAATATTTTTGATGAGCTGTATGGTCTCACCTACACCCCTAGTCTATAGACAAGAAAGGCATGAAGGAAAACAAAAGTTTTCAGTATGCAAACTAACAAAAGAACGTATTAACAAGGCAATAATGTAATGATTTTAGCAACAAGAAAGAAAAATATGCAGTAATACATGAAACTGAAGTATATAAACCCTCCAGCTTTCTACATACCTTGTAAAATGTATTGAAAAGGTTGCATAACAACTGTAATGAATGAACACTAGTTTCACGAATCCACTCATCTCCATAAGATGTCGTCTCTTTTCCAGCATGCCTCACGTGATCAAAAATTGGAAATAGGACGCGGTGGAAAATACTTTCCCAGAAATTCGATGAGAATTTGCTTCCTCTTTCATTCAACAAGTCAAATAATACCTCTAATGCACAGTTGCTGACTTCAGGCCGTGGGTCGGATGTCAAATCAGACAAACCAGCCAACATTGGGAACCAATAATGCTCAGTGATGTCGGAAGTTGCATCTGCATTGTCATCAACAGGTTTCAAGCTACCACCTGGTACAAGGCCCTGAAAATAAAACAAGCAGACTCACATTCCATTTGTCTCAAGGAAATAGTTATTAGATTATTAACTTGATTTCAAAGCAAAAAGAACTTCTCACCGTGCCAACCTATGAGCATCAATGAAAAACTTCGGCAACCATGAAATGATTATCCAGGAAGTAAGAGTTTCAAGAAAATGAAGCTATAGGCTATAGCTAAATCCTTTGTTACTACTTGTGAATAATAGGAAGGATCCTAGATGGAAATTGAAGAACAGTTTGTCTAACCAGTCATGCAATGATATATCACAAACAATAGGTCATAACTTTTCTATGATACTTACAGGAGTCACATTGCTATCTTCGTTTAAGAAGGTAAATTTTTTCTTACGATGTCAAATTCATTTTTCAAACCTATTGCCGAAGATATTATCTTTTTAGCTTGACGTTCTTTTTTCACTGTGGGGTCATATTAACTGTGTTTGTTAATGTTTGGGGTTTCCCCGTCATGTATCATCAGATTTTACCCTAGTGCTCTATATGTATAAGAGCTGAACTACCTGACACTGACAGATTGCTACAATCTTACATTACTCACTGGGAGTTATTCGTATTTTGCAGCATCTTAAGGGCACTCCCTGGACACTATCTTATATTAAGAGAGAACCAAGGTTTCAAAAAAGAGAGACGAGACTGGATCATAGGTTTCTTAAATGGAGACCAGGCAAGATGCCCGGCTTTTAAGTGATCCATCACTAGCACTTGTGTCTTTGTTGGTTGTAGCTATTTATATTTGAAGAGCATGAAACATCATTTCATATCTCATCATGCAGCAAGAATAACGGGCAATGGCAGATATCCCTTGTAAGATGCTATATGTTAAATGTTCACTAAGCAAATTATGCTGTGTTCTCAAAACCTTTTTTAGGAAGGAAAGGGAGGGAAAATAAGAACACCGTGTTCCCAAAAAAATTAGGGGAGACAGGAAATGAAACGGAAGGAAAATAAATGATAGGTTTCCTCCCAAATATGGAGGAAAGGGAAGGAAAGAAACAAGAACCCTTGAAAAGATTAGTAAAAACACAAAACTACCCAACCTTTCATTTTAAAAGGTAATATATGTAAAAATGACATTTCCTTTCCTTCCTCTCATGTTCAAGAACATGAAAAAGTTATTTTCTTTCCTTCCCTTCCCATTCAATTTTCAAGAACACAAATAAAAAATTACTTTTCTTTTCCTTCCCTTTCCTTTCTTCTCTTTTCTTCCCAAATACGAGAACACATTGTTATTTCTTCAAGATGGCCTTATGTGATTGTATTCTGGTAATCAAGCGTCCATGCACATTGCAAGTGCAAAGAACCAAATATTTCATGAGCAGATGAAACACATAGAGGTGGATTGTCATCTGGTGTGCAATCTAGTTGTAGGTACATCCAGAAAACCTCCATTTACTCAATGTAGATTTGGACATATCACCAACTTGCAGACATTCTGACAGAGTCTCTGTATGTAGCAACTTTGCATCTCGAATTACCATAATTATTATTTTTGAACTGCATGCTAGTTCACCGTGAACTGGTGATAATCACTCGAAAATCAACTTAATGAACAGACATGGTGAAAGATACAGAAAAAACAAACCTCTGCAAGTCGGTCCTCACATATGCGGAGAAGTGCAATGGCCTTCAAACTAATGCGGTGAGAAGTTTTATTGTTGGCAAAACCAATTAGACAGTTGACACAGTCCATAAAACAATCACCAACAACCTGATCAAAGTGCTCCAGTATAACTGCAAGTTTATTTGATGTTAGACATGTAAAGCCCGTTTTAAAAAAGAGAACATTATCTACAATCTGCATGAAACATCAATAAAGAAACTAAAAGATATCAATAAATGAAATACCCTGTTCGACATTCTCAAAAGCACTTTCAACGATTGGTTCTAAGTCGTCATCTGCAGCAGCTGTGAAAATCATGAAAACACTTCGCCAACCAGATTTAATGCTTCCGACTTTTGATTTTATCATCTGTTTAAAAGCCAGCATAAGTCACTTTGAAAGATCCTTTTTAGTACACAAAAAGGACAAACCATACCCCCCCCCCCCCC